AAAAATAATACGGTGAAATGTGCCGACTTTTGCAGTTTTCCCCTCTTTTGTTGAAACTAATGAGTCACGATTAGAGTAATGCCTTTCTGTGACTCTGAAACCATTTTGCTTAATGAGGTACTAAGTCTTTATAATTAGGCCCAGAAGGGAACTGGGACATGGCCCCTTAAGAGCAATAATTATTTAGGTTATTTATGGTAATAAAAAATTGAAAATAGGAATTCTTCGTCAGAATGTGACTATTTATTCTTTTACATATTGCCTAACAGGCAATTACCCTATTAAGGCAACGTTTTGTTGCTAAAGACATTAATTGAAATGTAAATTAAATGTAAATCAGCTAATTAAATTGATATGTAATGAACTTGTCATGCAGGCCTTTGAGATCAGATGCATTTTGCTAATAAACAAGTGTTACAGTGGTGCCATTGCTCACTGGAGTTAAGGTTGTTTGACATGTTGCATCGATAACACTCTCCCCAAATTCAAAGGTTTGTATTGTGTCGTTAGGGCCCAGAATGAAGCTGGCACTGGGAGTTTCCAGATTTATTCCCTCCGGTTATTTCTCAATAAACTTCACTGCAAGGCAAGGTGTTCCCCTATTGGCGAGGGCTGCACATCCCTTTGGGGTGCAGTCCAAGCTCTGTCTATTCTTTCTGCTCCCCAGAAATGGTAAAGCACTTTGTAAAACCGCTCACCAAGACCGATGGCTTCTGGAGGGGTATTGTTATTTCTGTCTCTGTGCGCCATGGACAGTTCGGCAGGGGTAGTGAACCTTCACGGTAGCGGGAGGATAACTCTAGACATTCCTGAAATACAAAGAAATAAAATGAGAAACAAAGCAATCAGAATTTGCTTTGTGATTATGTTGACAACGTACAAGGTAAGCATCAAAACCGACATCATCAAGTCAATACAGCAGCAGGAGAATGAGCCAAATAACCTTCTGCGCTGTCTATAACACATGAGTAACCTTAATCATCAAGAGCGTGAGCTTGTGTCAAACTGTAAATTAAAGGGAAGGAATATGAAGCTATCAGTTCTCCTGTGGAACAATCAGTTTTCCTGCAGCTACCTTTTGAGCCAGACCTACTAAAATTTCTGGCACGAATTCAAGCTTTGTGTTGAAGGTATCTTGGAGGATAGAAGTCCCTCCCCTGCCAGACCAAACTCTCTGCCTACAATTATGCAACAGCAAGGCAAACATCATAGATTTTGCCTTTGAAAAAGCTCAGGTCTGCACCTTATGAAAACCACTGCCTGCTTCCGTTGAAATCATGCAGACATTTTGTGTGCGCAGTCGTAAAACTCAAGCAAATGTGGCAAAAAAAAGGCTGCGCAAGCCAGAGAATAGAAATGCGGTTTGGAATTGCGGAGACGCTTTTGCAGAAAGTTTTCCTGGATCCATCGTGCCGTAGTTGCACCTGAGCATTCACGCATAATTGTTCTGTCTTGAATAAATCTGATGCTGCATTTATAACTCCTACCCAGAGAACCTTCCACCCCGCAATCCTTTGGGGCCTGGGGGTATTTAATAAACATGTCAACTACCACTCTTCTTTAGCTTGAATGCAGCATCTTGTTTTTTCCTACTGAAGAACACTCCAGTTTGAAGTTTACAGAGCAATTAAAGACCCTCATGGGGCCCCTGATATGTAGAGATTGTCAGCATATGTAGATTAGCAATTGTCAAGTTTCTCCCTAAGGCCGAAGAGCTCTTAGTCAAATTCCAGAGATCATCAAGTATTCAGATTTCAGTGGGCTTTGTGTCATACACAACATAGTGGCATAATTAAACTACAATGCTTCTTTTCTAATAAACTTTTGGATCTGGCTATGTTTCTATTAATTTCTTCTAATTAGCTATGATCACAAAATAAAAATAAACATCAATCTAAAGCTGCAACTTTGCTGCTTCCAAAAAGACACCCTGGGAATTGCTTTCTCTTCTAAACTGTTGGGGTCTGGGGACCACACTCACTGCTGTGACTTGCAAAGGCCTGATGGAGGACAAAAACCAGCAGGCTGAAGGCACAATCCTTCTCTGACTCCTTTTCAGCTGGGCACACGTGGGCACAGGTGATTGAACAGTGCTGCCATCTTGAACCATGTCTTCATTGACCTGTTGGCTAATTCAAATTCTAGTCTATTCTTCACTAGTTTTGGTGTCTCTGAACATTGATCTAGATGCAAACTGAAAAAAAAAATATTTACTTCAGAGGTCAGAGAAGGAAATTAGTATAAGGATCCTCACAACCCAGGCTAATGCTGTAATGGCTATCTCCAGCATCCACCATTGCTGAGCCCTCTCACCCCCATGCCGAGCAATCAAATATGCACCTGAATTTAATAGTCATTTGCTTGACCATTGAAGAGGAATTGTGCTGGCTTGCTTTGCCTCTTAATGATCAAATCACTCCTCTAATATGGTATTCCCTGGAAGCCACGGGGTAGCAAGAGCAACTGGATGAAGGTCTCATGCAGTAAGACTGGCCTCTGCATGTTCTTCCAGCTGGATCCTCTGCTGTGGTTCCCACATCGTGTTGTGGTCCCAGGGCTTGGAAGGCACAAAGTGTCGGTCATTGGCCCTGTTTGAGTCCCACTCCATTGATCTGTGTCTGTGTGTGGGTAAAACCTATGGCAAGGAATAAGTTGTTACAAATCTCTGTGGTGTTTCTGACATACAAACTGAGATTTTTCAAAGCAAACTGTGGGATCTGAAAGTTTATTTCCTAATAAAATAAAAAAGAAATGGACTTGGAAATTGTGAAGGCAGCTTTAATAATCTTCATTACAGCATAAAAGCGCTAAATTATTGCTCATGAGGAACAGATCTTCGTTTCCATGCTGTTCACACTTTCTAGGTGTAGCAGAGGACAAACTGGCCATGTCTGGGGATCAACAGAAATCTTACATTAACACCAGATTGCCCATGCACACGCGTGTGTGCTCTTGCACTAACATTCAGATACATGCACCCAAATGAGCAATGCTCTTCTCAAACTGGGCTAGCAATTAAGACCCTGAGAAGCCTCAAAAACATTCCTGCATCCAGGAGGAAACTCATTTTTTATCTCCATTGCTGTAGTCGCACAGCACTTTGTGCTCTGTAAATCCTGTCTTATTTGTCGGAACTTACACGCACCTTGAGTGTTGGGGTACTGGCAGCTCTGAAGACTGAGGTCTTTCACCAGTCCCAGAAGAGACAGCCAAAGCATCCCCATCCCAACACAAAGGATAACCTGAAGCCAGTGGGTAATTTCAGAGTGGTTTTCTGCAGTCTCAGGCTGGCTTCAAAGCAAGGATCTATCATTTTGCCTCCAAATCTCTAGTCTCCCTGTCCACAAACCCATTTGTGGGCTAAATCCGCCTTTCATGAAAATCACTTAAATTTTTCCCATCATCGAGTAACACCCATCGGTGAAGTGACTCTTCTCCACTTGGCCCACTGAACATGGCAGAATATAATGCTGCTTTCTTTTCCGAGGTCTGTGGTTATGCTAGGGTATTAAAACTGGATCCAAGCAGCATGAACAAGGTTGGGCTTTAAATAGTAGCCCAGGAGGAGACTCTCAAGGGTCCCAATAATAATAGGAAAAAAGATTCCTCACATTCTTCCTATGATGATACATCTAAAAATTATTAATTTTGCTTGTCCTGTATCATATCTTAGGGCAAGCTGCTTTTCCCGACTGAATTGCAACGTGGTGTTTGGTTCGGTGGGTTTAACTGAAGCGTGGCTATCTGGAAAAGGCAGCGTTATCTGTAATAAAGTAACTCCTTCAAATTTACTTTCTTGATCTTGTACTTTGGTTGGGCTGCCAGAGTCTTAATGCCTGGAAAAGTATCTGTCACCCAGGGGCCCTCGTTTTAAAGGACTGTAGGTTTTTAGGGGCTGGATGGCGTCATCTCCCTGGCATTGATTTTGTCAATGTATTCCTGTGAGTGAGCCAGCCTGAGCTGCCTGCTAATTTCCCATCTCCTCTTCGGCTGACGACAGTTCCTGGCTCAGCGAGATTTCAGTTTTGTTCACTGGACTCTTCTTTCCCTGCCCTCCCTGAGCTATATTTTCTAAGCACCAATTTCACTCCAAAATTAAAGATGAAATTTAAAGATTAGGGACTGCAGGTTTTTTTCCAAAGGCATTTCGATGTCTCATACTCATTGATTGAGTTAGGTATCTAAATCATCCAGAGCAATCTGGCCCCCATCCCAAATTATGTGATGTAAAAGGCCAATTTGACTTTTAAAATGCTCTCCACTTTAATCGCCTGCTGTGCGATTAGTACCACACGTAATAAACACATTGTGTGCGGCACGCATAGGTCAGGTGTGGGGTGATGCAACGCTGACTGCCTTGAATATAAATGCCAGAAATATCAAATACCGTGTGCACCAGTCTTAGTCCCAGTCAATTCTAATTACTCTATTCGTCTGACTCCAAATTCAGATGTACCGTGGTGTAACTGAGGTCAGGATACAGTACATGATTCTTAACTTAATACCACTTTGGTACTGTAAAGGTCAAACGGAGCATCATCCAAGGAGAAGAGGTAAGGGCTGCGTTAATTATTCTTCACTCCTTGAACAAAGGGATGGAGATTGCATCTCTGCTGAAGAGCATTCTGCTGTGCTGCATATTTAAGTTAAAAAACAAGGAAGAACGAAGGAGCCATTCCTGCAATAATCCTTAAATGAGCCTTGCTGAGCTCTGCCTGTGTCATGGTTTAACCCCAGCTGGCAACCAAGCCCCACGCAGCCACTCGCTCACTCCCCCCTGGTGGGATGGGGGACAGAATCCAAAGGGTAAAAGTGAGAAAGCTCGTGGGTTGAGATAATGACAGTTTAACAGGTAAAGCAAAAGCCGCACAGACAAGCAAAGCAAAGCAAGGAATTCATTCTCTGCTTCCCACCGGCAGGCAGGTGCTCAGCCATCCCCAGGAAAGCAGGGCTCCATCACACGTAATGGTTACTTGGGAAGACAAACACCATCACTCCAAACGTCCCCTCCTTCCTTCTTTTTCCCCCAATTTATATACTAAGCATGACGCCATACTGTCTGGAATATCCCTGTGGCCAGCTGGGGTCAGCTGTCCCAGCTGTGCCCCCTCCCAGCTCCCTGTGCACCTGGCAGAGCAGGGGAAGCTGAAAAGTCCTTGACTAGTCTAGGCACTACTTAGCAACAACTTAAACATCAATGAGTTATTGACATTCTTCCCATACCAAATCCAAAACACAGCACTATGCCAGCTACTAGGAAGAAAATCAACTCCATCCCAGCCGAAACCAGGACAATCTCACAGCACTTGCTCTGCCCATCTTTCGAGCAACAGCTGTACCAGAGTCAGAGGCCAGGCTGGGCAGCGTTCCCCCTCCAGGCAGGGGTAGCTCCCAGTTCTGGCCATAAAGAAAAGCCGGCTTCATCTACTGAGTAACAAAAAAACATTAAACCCCCATGTTCATTTGTAGACGTTCCTGCTGTCGGAGGAATCGCTGACTCAGTGGGGCATGAGGCTGGAGCCTCCCTTTTCCACTTGCTTATAACTATCCTGTTTGAATGGCTATAAAGCACCTTCAAATAGGAACCTTCCTTGCATGCCAGTGGTAGGATTTTGTTCCCTCTTCTGCATTAGTTTTAATAACTGTATTAGGTAGAGACAGTGGACATCCGGGTTCAGAGCTGGTTTTAGCTGAACTCGGCTCGCTGTTCTACTGACTGTCATGCCCACGCTCACGAGGCACTGTTTTGTTCCTTCTCTGAAGGCAGTAAGCAAAGTCATCGCTAAAAACAGAGTGTGGTCCCAATCCATAGCCATTCTACTCATTTCATTTTCTGGTATCTCTAAAGTGTTAACTGCTGCAAGCAGAAACATGGAAACCCACCATAGCGAGAGCTGATTGAAATCCAGCCCACAGTGTCACCCGTAAATAAGAAATAAGGAGTACATGGCTGTGATTAATCCTCCATAAATGGCCATTGCCTGCTTCCTCTATTCCGTACAAACACAGGCCACGTATTTATTCAGCTCGCCAAAAGAGTAACAAGGAGATCATTCCTATTTGTCAGGATCTGGGATTTAAGCAAGTACTTAAAGTGGGAGCTCTGTGCTTGTGTGTCTGTAGACATGCACACACGTCTGCTCTTCTGTCTGATTTTCAATATTCATGAGAGAAAAAGAGAATGTTATTTTTTTATAAAGGTGCACTTGTCAATAGATCAAAATACATTGAGATGCAAAATCACAGCAATGTGAGCTTTAGTTAAGGAATTTTTGTGATATTAGAAACACCAATCTCTAAGGATTGGTAATAATAGTACTATTAAGAGAGAATGTTTCTGTTATTACGTGTAGCAACTTGGCCAAATCTGAGACCTGCAGTAAAAGCACTGAGGGGGGGAAAAAAAAAAATAAAATCATGTGATATACAGAACCTAGACCTGTGGTTTGAGGCACTGGTGGGTAAGGACTGGTTTTTACCACTTGTGAATACACCTTCATCAAAGCACCACCTTGCTTGTCTGTGGTTCAGCTGAGCTCACCAGAGCAGAGCTGCCTGCGCCACTGTCGCCCTGGCAAAGCACAGGAGCGTTTCTCCTGGGCTGTGATTTACAGCCCAAGGGCTTCATCCCTGGACAGAGTGCTGCATCCAGCGCCTTTGGCCTCTGCTGCCGCTGGGTGCTAGGTACACCAGGCAGCTCCCTCAAAATACCACTTGCACAGGCGTTGCAGTTGCAGCACTGGCCGAGGAGTGGAAGGGGACACTCAGGAAATGTGGTGCCTCTGCGCCCCTATCTTCCTGAATGTCTTTAAGCAAATCACTTAATTTCTGACTGCCCCAGTTCCCCTAGCTGTTGAAAAGGGATGATGAACTACAAACCTCATTAAAGGCACTGCAGATCAAGGAGAGGAAAATGATGCAAAAGAGCTAAATATTGGTATTATTACACTGCTTGCTGGAAAATAACCAGTAAAATTGCCAGAAACGGGTGTAAGAACCAGGAAACAGAATCACAGAATGGATGATGTTGGAAAGGATCCTGAGATCATCTCGTCCATCCCCTCTGCTCAGGCCGGGGTCAGCTAGAGCAGGTTGCCCAGGGCTGTCTCCAGCTGGGTTTTGAATATCTGCAGGGATGGAGACTCCACAGCCTCTCTGGGCACTCAGTTCCAGCGTTTGGTCACCCTCACAGTTAAAAAGCGTTTTCTTGTGTCCAGATGGAATTTCATGTATTTGTTTTAATTTGTGCCCATTGCCCCTTGTGTAGCGCATGGTCCCCACACACCGCCAAGCAACCAGCGAGCCCCAGAGGGGCACTGCCTGTGGCCAGATGTGATCTGAATTTGTCCGGTCACCTTTGAAATCCCAATATTCATTCCCTTTTCCCCTCTTGATCTCTTTCAATGTGAGATTTGGCTACTTTTGCTCGGAGACCAGTATCAGCTTGTTGAACCAGTGAGTTAACAGCCTCACGTCTCCTGGAGATGCTCTGGCACCATCTTAGGGCCCAGCCCTCCTAGGAGGTTAGCAGAGACTGTCTAGCAATAGGGAGCCTTCCCCGGTCCAGCCTGACGAATTGTAAAACACAGTGATTACCACCACCCCCACCAAAAGACAGCTCTTTCAGTAAAAAAAGAAAATAAAGCTCATGCCTAAAGATGTTATCATGCATAATTCAGGGAAGAAATCCATACTGCATTTAAAAGATTACATCTTATAAGCCAGGGTACTTACTAGCTTGATGATTTAAAAGTACATGGGGATAGAATCTTTCCTGCTATTCCGCACTGGCATCAGTGCAGTTGTGCGGATGAATGATGAGCCTTGCAGCTTGCTGTGGGACTGAACTGCTTTCCTGATGCCAGAATGGCCCAGACAGAATTGGGGCAAACCCAATTCATGGTAAGCAGCCCTGTCCCTGCCTGGGTGCATGGTCCATGTGGGTTACGCCAGACCTGCTGTCCGTCGCTACGCCAGGGATCGCTTCCTTCTTTCTGTTGGGTTTGGTTAAGGCGGTCACGGGGTTAGAGGCAGTAACGGGGCTTGTGGTAGGCAGCAACAGGGTCAGTGGTGTTTAGCTCCACTGAGTGATTAATTCCCTCTCCAGAAACACTCAGCACTCCCATCTTCCCAACAGCATGAGAAAATGCTTTGGGGCAGCCAAGGGCTGAGTATGTTGGATGTGCTTCTCCTTCTCAAGTACAGAAAGAAAAGGCCAGTCTGTACCACTGCTGATAGATATGCTCGTGGTCCTTATTAAAGTTTGTATGAACTCTCCTATAGCTGTTCACCCAGAGGGCTCACAATAACAAGGATTTTGGCCTATGTACATTTAAGAGTAAGGGATTAAAAAAATGCCTGAGGGTTGTTGCTACCCCCAGGCAGCCCCTCCGTATCATGGACACATGCAGGCAGGACACTGCCCATGCACGTGCCGATAACCTCATGTCACAGCAGCAGCGGTATGCATCTCTCTGTCCCTCTCAGTTACGCCTTTGGTCAAGTCCAGCGTTTTGAACCTTCAGCCTGGAGTACAAACATGATATTATACAAACTGGAGGCATTTGGATACTGAAATAGTTAGGAGGTTCAAGCAAATTTACCCCGGACAGCACTAGTTGCTCTGATGGCCCTTGATGATTTTCAAATACAGGTTCCCCTTCCTGAAACATGTCCTCCTTTTAACATGACATGTTCCATGCTACGTGGCACCCTACCTCAAAACAGGGCTTGGACTTCCACCTCTGGCCCCAGGCTGTGCAGACTGCCACCATTTTTCTACACCAATGAAAATTAGAGATTTTTTTTTTTTGTTTTCATCTGCTGCTCTAAACCCAGTTACAGATCTGAAATTTATAGTTTAAATTGTTTAAAAATGGCATTGGCACCAGGGAACGGTTTCACTCAAATACCACATGCTTCAGGTTGAAGGGAGAACTTGGCTGTGACCATTTTTTTTTTTTTTTTTTTTGCACCATCATCCTGTCCCTATTATGTCTTGCACCTCCACGGTATCGGGAGGCACGACAGCTGGCACGCACGGCAGAACTGCTGCAGCCACCCACTTCTGTACCCGTCCGCAACGCCTGAATGAAGCATGTTCTTTTTAGCTTTTTGTTTACGGGCTAAATGGATGTAATAAGTGTGAAATTATCATGAAATTGAGCAAAGAAGCTTAGGAAATCTTGATTTGTCATCAAAGATACCTGGAGGTTATCCTGGACAAACAAATTAACTCCAAAAGGTGGCACCTACACTGATTATAGCAAGTGGGAGGGGGAATTCTGGAGTTTTGTCTCAGTGGCTTTTCCACACAGCCTCTGTCATCTCACAGATCCCCCAATCGTATCATGGGCATGGAACTAACTAATAACCTGGGGACTGTGACGTTTGCAGCTGTTCCGGTCAGAAGTCCTCTGATGAGCGGTTTGGGAAGTCTCAGGATGGCTGAATGGCAGCTCAGATCAGGAGGAGGGTGCACTGACCATGCCGTGTGAGAGTGACCGAAAAGGAAGTATTCTGCAAAAAACCTTCTCCCCATTTTTTCAAGGTTGAGAGGCATGGAATATCTGCATTTAACAGCCATTATTAATTACTGTTTACTCTGCCAACACTGCCTTGGGAGCATCAGTGGTGATTTAGCCAAGCACCCACTGCCATCACTCAGCTGGCTGCCACGGCTCAGCCACGGAGCTGGAATCTCTTCCCTCGTTGGCTCTGTGGCCCACTTCTGTCCTGCCTCAGTTCACTTCAGCTGCCCAAGTCTTGGGCCACCGTGTGAGAAATGGGTGTTTCCTCACATGGGGAAAAAGGTATATAAAGCAACATTAGTAGGAGGTAGAAATATCATGGGGTTTTGGATGGTAGAAATGAATCACAGAAATAAATATTCCTCACCTTATCCTAAATCTTGCAACATCTGACCATAGAAGGGCTGAGAGTGGCATTAGAGATTTCCAGGGTAAATTCCTGGCTTTATTTAGAAGAATAACAAAACTTCTTCACCTAAAAGGACCAAAGGTTTCACTCAACGCTCAGTGCTGAACCACCAGCTCTGCAAGAGCCACATCCGTGCTCTAATCAGTTTCCTGAGCTACAGTTAAATAGTGCTTCTCCATCTTTTTTCC